ACTGTATATAATTCATGTACGTAATGCACAACATATACCGTGTTTTATGTACTGCATGCACCGAATACATACAGAGAACTATATACATAATGCTTATATAGCACACAATAGATACTTCTGGACGTATAGTTCACTATATATCATACTGTATATAATTCAAGAACATTGGGCAGTGCGTTCATCATCTGGTTCTAGCCTTGATGATGTCACGGTCCATGAAGTGAAAAACGTTGGCATCAAACAGTTTACCATCTGCTGTGCTTGGTGCCCTGAACCGTGAATCGTTCAAATAATTGTATAAAATTTTCCTTGTTACCCATGAACCCACACACAAAAGACTTACCACCTTAAAAACCATTAACTTTTCATAAATTTCCAACTAATTTTACACTACCTTGCTTCAAAATTTTCTTTATTTTGCTACAGTGATTTTGCTGTTATGTTTTTACTTCTGTACATTAAGCCGAAACGTTGTAATAAAAAAGAAAATCTGACGACACTGTTTATTGCAAAAATGCACAATTTACGTTCGATAAAGCGTGCGACGTGAGGTCAATTTGCACAGCTATTAGGTCAACCCAAAATTTTGCCTCTCATAACTCGTCTAGTAAACAATATGCCGTTTTTATGCTGATTTGAGGTCGTCGGACGAATCAAAGAAAGAAAATTCCTTCGTTGATGTAAATGGCATGTGACTTGCAGATGAACATCCAATAAAAACAAAACAGCGCAGAAATCGACTGAGGAATCAGGACTGAAAAGGACTGAGAACATCATCCAATCCGCAACGACTTTGCATCTAGTTGTCGGAAGCCAGTTATGGTAAGTCTAATGTAGTTTAGCTGCTCTTTGATCAAATCGAACAGCAACACTAGTGGAAGGCAGTTCCTGGCTTAAATTTCAGAGCATCAGAAACTTGGCCAAACGAAACAGTGATACTTGTTTCGATTTAAGGAATGAGTCACAAATTAAACATTATGGATATCCAATCATACACTAAATAATTCCGCGCTGATGTGATCATGAAAGTTCTACTCACTGTGGGTTTATTGCCTCATAACAATTGTAGACAATCTTCCTCTTCCTCCAGTAAAAATATATATACGTGCTATGCTTGCCACAGCTGCTATCTACTGTCTGTTTACAATAAGGTAGGCAAACCTGACTGATGACATGGAAAAGGGCATCAGCGCTTTACCAATAACTTCATAAGCGCCTAAATGGGGCAAAAATTAAGGTGTAAGGAAGACAAATACTACAACGGTTGAAATCTAACTTTTTCCATTTCCTCAGTATATATCTTTATATAGTACGCCTTTAAAATATAGAAATTATTAGTATCATTTCAAGCAATCGAGAGCATGTAAACTGTGAAGTAATGACCGAACTGAGGCAGGACATGACGAGAACTTGGCTCATATGTTGGTCGACAGCAGAGCGAAAAAGAATCACGTACACCATAAAAGCTAGCAAAACCAATTAGAAGCAGATGTGTTTACGAAAAGAAATATGTTGTTTGTCGAAACAGCCAAATTCACTTCGCATATGAGGTATAACCTCGTACATGCCGACTATTATTAATGAAGAGACAAGCGCAGCTGTTAAGACAGCTATATGCTAGATGACAATAAAAAATTTATGAAAACACCCGTCGATACACCACTGTATAGAGAGCACCTCAGTTACGCGATGTGAAAAGTTTCCTTTACTTAATCGATGCAGGAACCATAACTGATAATCCTACCGTATGATTATCGAAAATTTGAATCTGATTTACAAGGCCCATCGCGCATGCCATCGGCTGGTTCAGAAATCAAATCTTATCACGTCTAACTATATGACAGAGGAAAAGCCACTCATTTCCCTCTTTCTGCACTTGGTAGATACAACCAACAACTGAACGGTGCTACGTGTGCCAACAAAGTTTCAGCCCAACACAAGAAGAACAGGAAGAATAAGAAAGAGAAAATTTCCAAGGCCAATACCTCGATCGCTTTCGATAGGCGAAGTCGGCGATGGTGGCGAAAAGGCCGCCACCGGTGCAGGACATGCTCATCATAGCGGTGAGGTAGAAATGAGGGATTCCAACGACGAAGATTGCAATCACAAAGGAGAGAACGAAACCGAAAGACACCGCCGCCGTTTCGGCAGGAGAGGAAAGGCCAGATCTGCTCGTTTAGCCCGTCTCGTCGTATTGCTGTCGGTCGGTTGGCCAGCCGGCCAGCCAGCCAGCGGTAGGCGAAGAGAAGAAATATCGCCATCGCCATTATGAGTCACTGCAAAAAATTATGCACTGCCAAAACCAAAGCCGAATCCGTCCATGACTTGTGTGTGTCTGTGTGTGCTGTTGTACATGAACCTGTTTCGCGTGACGACGATGTTCACTTAGTCATCTACCCCCAGTGACCAGCGATTGATCGCTGTCGACAGAAGGACAACGAGGATCCGTGACCAAAAATCGACTCTACCGCTTACTCGTCGACTAAGTGACCATTTGATGAGGATGGGGAAGAAGAACCTCGAACTCGACGTCCAACTATTTTCGGTGCAGCTGCCGGAAGCCCTCTGGCCTCTGAATCGCACGTACGCGTAAACGCACCGGAAAAACACCACATTGCTCTACACCTCAAAAAACCTCATTTCTAAACGTTTGAATCCTAAATGGTTTACTGGTGAAAAACAAGCCTCTCGTCGATATCCAGACACGGAAACGAGACAACGAACGTCTGCCTCGCAAATGCAAGGTCATCAAACCAGGCACGGATCAGAAGGTGGCGAAAAGCACGTGCTGCCAAAAAATTTTTGAGTAAGGAAAAGAAACGGAAAAAGAAGACTAGAGAAAGAAAAAGGAAACGACAGCTGAAACATGCCGCAAAATGATAATTGTTAAGATATGGGTAATTTCGGCGAAAAAAGTCTATAATTTACAACGATAATTGACCGGCGTTGATCAGTTGGTACAACACCGGACTTACAACCGAAAGCTCATAGTTCGAATACGTGTCAGGTTAATCGGTTAGCGTTACTTCCTTCTGAGATTGATAAATGAGTATCTGTGTGTGGGAAAGACACAGCAGACTATACATTATGCTTGCCTCATAGCAGCTGTCTAATCTGCCTCTAAAATGTCGCATTCCTGTCATATGGCATGGAAATAAGTCAGCTCTCCACTATTAGCTTCACCGAAAGTAAAATGCCAGAAATGATCCCATCATGAGAGTGTAAGGAAAACCGATACCTCAGTGTTTGCACATTTTCCTCCTTTTTCTAACCAGGTAACAGTATCCAATCGAATGCAATTTGAACAACTCGATGATTCATAAACTTAAGTCTTCGGTTTCCTATTTTCTTTGGAGACGGTCATCGATCACGCAATTACTCACCGTCATATTGATCACATAAACAAACTTCCCTCTACAACTATCGCCGAGTCAGCAGCTATGCGGTTGTCACTCTAAGACTGATCATTCTTCCGCGTGATGAGAACAGATAGTAAAATTCAATACACAATCATATTAATGCATTCTTCATTCTGCTTTACCCTAATCGGACATCATTACACATTACTGACCGAACTCGGACTCTACAGTTTACAGAAAGTCAGTCCGGGGGCGGTAACGTTGACAAATTCAAAGAAACGGATATATGCTTTTATTTTTTAGCATATCATGGAAATACCTATTAGGTTTTGAAAAAAAAACATTGCTTAGATTGTTTTTAGCACTGACACTTCGTCGCACTGAATCTTGAGGCTCACACGTCCCTGCAAAGTCAGACGAAGATATCCTCAGAGAACCACCATATACAGCGCCTACTTCTTCTGACAGCTATGATGATTTGGGCACGTGTCGCGATAGCTCATAGAAATGAACGCGAAATATCTACTACTTGTCTAGCTGACCAGTCGAAGACCCTGGAACCGGTCAAGATTAATCTGAGGCAAGTGCATCGAATGACTCTGGTTCAAACTCCGGATATATGGTTATCTTCTGCCGAAGCTTAGATGTTGGCACAGGAATGAAAACATTCCAAGCAATGTTTGACGCGTCTGATTCTTCGACCCGAAACGATAAGCAGTCATCGAAAGAGACTTAATCCTTTGAACCAACCTCCTCGTTACATTAAGCTCATTTATAGAACCCGTTCATTAAGTGCAGCAACCATGTCTATGCAGCATACAGGACAAAAGAGGATGTTTAGGCGACCAGTTTGGAACCTGCCACAATTCATCTGTTAAACGCTTGCGCATCACGCAGAAAAGCAATTATCTGGTTTGCCATGTGATGGCGTCAACGTCGACACAGCGATGATCGGTCAAGAGGTCAGGCGAAACTGAAACTTAACTGTATCTCCAGTCATGCACTGCGAAAAAAATAAAAGCTTTCTAAGTGATATGAAGTCGTAAAAAAATTGTGCAGATCTATCAGAGGGAAGAGGCAAATCATATCAGAGAGCAGGAGCATACGAATCGCAGGATCCAGCATATTTACACCAGAACTAACCTGTCCCCTCTCATCATTTTCCAGGTCAACGCCGGCTACCAATCTTTTGGATGATATGATTTTATCGAATCATGGCGAGGTGAGATGTTTGATCAAGAACGTCTGCGATCAATAAGAAAATGTTACGTTGTGCCAGGCTTCAAACCCCGTACCTCTAAAGAGCACGACCAAACTACTGTCAATCGCGCCACTACTTCTTTAAAAATGTATAAATTCATTAAACTATTATTTCTTACGAGCTCAGTAACAACCGAACACCAAAAGCATTGCGACAGGAATCAATAATTCTACACAAGTATTCTCGTGTATTCTGAATCTACGCTAAGCACTAAACTCAACACAAGTGTTAGAAAGCAAACATGAGACCGGAAGGCAACAAATTCACTTGCTCCATCGAGGAGATGATTATATTTATTTTCGCTTATGTTTACCTGGCGTATGTAAACAAATCACCGGAGCACACGAAATTACTACGAATATTGCAGGCAGTAACGTCAGAAGTACCAGTGATATAACCACTACAGTGGTGTGCGAACCGTCTTACCATATTTATATATATTTATGTATTCATAGGAACAACAGCATCATTAGAGTTAATACCACTACCAATATTCGCATACGTACTTTTATGTTACAATACGACGAGTAGTAAAAACAACTATACTAAAAATATAACCGTCTGCACTGTTATTACTATAAACGTAATACCATTCATATTATCTTTACTGCAAGTATTGCAGAAATTACAAGTATAATTGCAATTCATGTATGGTAATATTCTTGTACATTCCAAATAATATTACCGTAAATTATACAATATATCACTCGTAAAAATACTAGCAGTATTCACTACCTATGGTAGCGATAATAAATACAAAAAGACTAGCAATTTGGTATTAATTGGAAAATACCGAGGTCATCTTTTATGTTTATCTAAAGTTCGTTCGTTGGGTGATTTGGTGCCACTGTCCACAGAGCGAATGCATGCCACAATGTGGCATTGTGCTTATCTAAATGACGTACTGAATGCGTTGGTCTATTTTCTGAACAGTCATTCAAAGCAGCAACTTGCTGCCATCTAAGGCATTTCTTTAGAGACACTTACTTACTCAAAAGTACTCTTCAGAAGTCCTACAGGGGACAGAATGCCTTAGGCCTACATGAACTTGAAGGAGCTTCAAAAGTATTTGACTTATGGCCAGTGATGGTGGTTAAGATAGGAAAAACAAATATCTACCATTTAAAACGGTTTCCTGTCTCTGAAGTAAATTCATTCAGGCACTGTCTGTTACAAAATAGTCCTGAAGCACTATTTTATGATCCATTTACTAAAAATCTTAACGCGTTTAAAATTGTTAAAATATAAAAATGCAAAAAAGTTTCAAAACCTAATTCGGCCTGAAGTATTTTCATAAGCAATATTTAACTTTAAATGTACTTAAGAACACCTTAAAATACTTTTATGCCAGTGCCTGCAGAACTAAAGCTTTACCGCTACTTTATATATAAGCGACGAGGAAGCTTGTCCTATTTAGAAACAACCTCTGACTAAATATCAGCAACACTTTGAACTAGCTAGCGAAACCTAACATGTGTCGAAATTGATGAACACGAAAATCTCTTCAAATTCTCTGGGACAACGCCAGGAAAGCGATGGCAGAACTCTATCGAATGTCTGCAGAAACGTCTATAGCATCGCCACATGACCAAGCAGAACAGTTCAGCATCTGCCAAGTAAGTCGATGTATCTCTGGGGAAGCGGGGATGGCGGGTAGTAAACTGATTATTCTGAGTCTTGATTCAAACCAAATCTAGCTATGGTATATTTACAGCTGTTTCATGAAAATCGTGATAGCAAGACTGCAGCGTCCCCCATTAAACAGGCTCGGTGGAGCCACAATTTTGTACGCTCCGTGATAGGCAATACGAGGATCAGATCATATTACAGCAATAAAGTAGGCGCAGACCAATAAAATCGTTCAATGCTCAAAGGATCTCCGAGGCGCCACTACAAACAAACGAAAGTGCGATTAATGTCAAGCGAATCTGGTGAAGTGTCTAAAATGCGTTGGTACCAGTTAATTGTCAAAAACTGGCTTTTCCCAGTAAACCCAGAACACCACCAGCACTTTTAGTTCATGAACCAGTGGATTCTCGAAGTTACTGGTCGCTTGAAACAATCGTTAACTGCTAAGATCTACTTATTAAGGTAAAAAGTACTTTCTAAGAGTGGTAATTGTTCGTCATTGCATGGCAAAAGTCTTAAACAGCACTTTCAAATAAAGGATTTTGAAAGAGCAGTAGCACAGTGTTAAGAGATAGTCATTAACTTCTGAGATGCCCTGTTCGATCGAATCTAAAAATACATTTCTCTCAAATAATTCACCAACTTTGTCTCAGTGGAGCGAGTCGGCAAAACGGTAGCAAGTCACTGACTTGTCAACAAAGAAAACAGCACGGTACTTTGGTGTACTCGAGCCAGAATAGGCGAGACGTACAGCAGTGCTGTCTGGTACAGACTCAGAGCCTGTCAGAATTGCAATTCATCCTGGCACCTGTAACAGTGGTGTGTGTGTGTGTGTGTGTGTGTGTGTG